GCGACTCGACGGCACATAACAACAACAACCACCACCTCTAGAATCAGTTACAGCTTGTGGTGACTTAACATATCAGAGTAGAAACATACTCTACAGGCTATTTATCAAAGGCTGATTTTTCAAAAGGCTATTGCCAGGTGCCTTTGTATGGACTTGAACTTCCAACCTTTTGAGTGTATTGACCATTCACATTAGCCAGGGATGCCCAGTTTTAGGTATTCAAACCCTTTGTGTCTCTAACTGAAGTCTCGTTTGGGAGGCACACGGTGCCAGGGCAACAGAGCTGCTGGAACAGGGAGGGAAGAGGTTCCAGGACATGCGGTGCCCTTCCTGGTGTTCTGGCCACACTGACCCTGTGCAGCTTCTTCTGTCATCTCTAACCTCTGCCCACATCCTGTAGCAGATAACTGCCCTCACCACTCACTGGACAGTAAGAATGTAAGAACTCAGTATTGTTTGAGATACCGTGTCATGGAATACAGGTATGTGTGTATGTGTGTGTGGGAAGGGCTAGGCACTGACTAGCTGTTGAGGATGTAGTCAAGCCTCTTACGTTCTCTGCACCCTAGTTTTCTGGTCTGTACAGTGGCCTTATAACAATGCTTGCAGCCTATGGTTGCTATGAAAATAGACTGAAATAATATATTCTCAAGTATAGCTGGAACCGCTTGGTTACATCAAACATAGTAAGCACTTAATGAGTTCATCCCGTATATGAGTGACTCAACTTGGTAGAACTTGAAAGATCATATTCTATACCCCAAATGGTTTTTCTCTGGGTTTTACCATATGTTCAATGCAATATGTAATTTGGGATTAAGGGATTAAAATTCTCTATTAAAATTACTATTAAATAGAGTAAATTGCCTGGAGTACCCTCCCCCACCACAATCCCCACCCTCAACTCTATACATACAGGAAAGAGCAGGACCATAGGGGTGAAGGTGTGGTGAGTATTAGTCTCAGAACAGGTTGTTTTTGTTTGCCATTGTGACAGAACTGACTGAGAGCTGACTCTCAAGCAAGTTTTTAGAGATATGAATTGCATGGGAGGAGATTTCCAACCCTTCTTCCTGCGGAACAGCTAGTGGATTTGAACTTGAACCCCTGTGTCTTTGTGACTGCAGCAAAGCTTCTTACCACTGTTGTTATGTGCCGTCGAGTCGTTTACGACTCATAGCGACCCTATGTACAACAGCCCTAAACCCTTCTCTATCCTGTGCCAACCGAATTGCCTCTGACACACTCATCCCGATTACCCCAGTCACTGAATCATTCCACCTCATAGAGGGTCTTCCCCTCCTGTGCCGTCCCTCTACCCTACCAAGCATGATGTCCCTCTCCAAGGACCTGTCTCTCCTTACAGCATGTCCAAAGTTTGTCAGACAAAGCCCCAGAATCCTTGCCTCCAAGGAGTAGTAGCCTGGTTTAACCCTCTCTAGGATGGATCTGTTTGTTTTCTTGGCAGTCCATGGAACATTCAATACTCTTCTCCAGCACTATAATTCAAAGGCATCAATTCTCCTTCTATCCTCCCTAGTCACTGTCCAACTCTCTGATGCATAACAAGTGATTGCAAAGACCATGGCCTGTATCAGGCGCACCTTAGTCTCCAGAGAGACACTGTTGCTCTTGAGTACTTTAGAGAGGTCCCTAACAGCAGACTTTCCCATCGCAATATGGTTTTTATTTCCTGGCTGCTGGTGCCTAGAGTGTTGACCATGGAACCAATCAAATTGAAGCTGTGAACAATCTCAATCTCTTCGCCATCCATCCTGATGCTACCAATTAGTCCAGTGGTGAGAATCTTTGTCTTCTTGACACTGAGCCTCAGTCCATACTGAAGGCTGCAGTCCTTGACCCTCTGCAGTAAGTGCATGAGGTTTTCCTCAGTTTCAGCGAGCAGGGTTGTGTCATCTGCATAACACAGATTGTTGATAGATCTTCCACCAATCCCAACGCCATGCTTCTCCTCATAGAGCCCAGCCTCTCGGATAATCTGCTCTGCATACAGGTTGAAAAGGTATGGATATAGGACACATCCCTGGTGTACACCCTTCTCAATTTTGAACCATGCAGTGTTGCCCTGCTCTGTTCTGACGACTGCCTCTTGGTCCAAGCATAGGTTTCGCATTAGCACGATTAAATGTTCTGGGATTCCCATTCTTCTCAGAGTCAGCCACAGTTTGTTATGATCCACACAGTCAAACGCCCTTGCATAATCAATGAAACACAGATAGACATTCTTCTGGTATTCTCTGCTTTCAGCCAAGATCCATCTAACATCAGCTATAATATCCCTAGTACCACGACCCCTTCTAAACCCAGCCTCGACTTCTGGCAGTTCTCTGTTTATGTACTGTTCCAGTCGTTTTTGGATAATCTTCAGTAGAATTTTGCTTGTATGTGAAATCAATGATATTGTTCTGTAGTTTCCACACTCAGTTGGGTCACCCTTCTTTGGGATGGGAACAAATACAGATCTCTTCCAGTCAGTTGGCCAAGTGGTTGTTCTCCAGATTTCTTGGCACAACTTGGTGAGCACGTCCATGGCAGCATCTGTTAGCTGAAATATGTCAACTGGCATACCATCGAGGGGCTGAAAGCCCACCTTCAGCTCCACTTAGGGCTGGATTTATGAAGTGCTCAGTGTCACATGAGGAATGAATTGAATAGCTAGTCAGTATGAAGGGATTTCACACTGTCCCTCCCTGCCTCCTTTTTGAACAAAGCAGAGGTTAGTGACCCCATCCATCAGTCCCCACCCATTCAAAAGCTTTTCTTCTCACTACCTGGGCTCCTTGGGGATGAGAACTCACCCACAGTAGCTGCTGTGCCTGGGGAGAACCGGTCCTCACAGAACCTCCTCAGGAATGACGTCTTCCCCACGCTGGAATTTCCCACAAGCACAATCTTGAAGAGCCGGTCTGGGGTACAGGGTGAGCTTTCCACCTGTGGAAAATGGACACTGGGCCATTGGCTGGACATGGCCTCAGGTTCCTGTCCTGTGAGACCATAGGGCTCCTCACCAGCCCCTAGAGTAATGTACAGGAGGGAGGGGACCTGCCATCCAGACCATATCAAGGCAGCTGCTGCAGCCTTAGGAGGCAGCAATGTTGGGCTTGGGGCCTGGAGGCTCCTTCTAGCCTCAGTAGGACAGGGGGAGGAATGTACATTCAATCATTTTTTCTTGCCCCCATCTGCTGTGTTCAAAGTCCTGTGCTGGGCTTAAAGTTTCAGAGAAGAGACGCAGGTCCCAGTTTATAGTGGATGGTTGAGGCAAGCACAAAAGCACATAACTACAGCCCAGGGTTCCAAAGTTTCAGGAGCAGAGAGGAGGTCCTCAAAGGAGGGTGTTCTGAACTGGGCTTAAAGAGGAGGCAGAAATTCACCATTGGCACAAAGGGAAGGACAAGCTGGCATGTGGGCTGTTGACAGATAGAAGGAGGCATAGAGAAAGGATGACTAATCTGTATTCTTAAATCAGGAAAGGTGTATGTGAGGGTTGTAGCCTTTCTCCATAACTGTTCAATCTGTATGCTAAGAAAATCATTAGAGAAGCTGGATGATATGAAAAATTATGTAGCATCAGGTTTGGAGGAGGACTTATCGACAACCTGTGTCATGAAGATGACAGAGCCTTGCTTTTAGAATGTGAAGAAGACTAGAAACACTTGCTGCAGAAGATCAAAGACTATTGTATTTCATTTTACTTGGATCCATAATCAAGAGTCAAGAAATCAAAAGTCCTGCTGCATCAGGAAAAATCTGTTGTCAAGGGCCTCTCCAAAGTGCCAAAGAGCAATGATGTCAGTTTAAAGATTAAGGTTCACCTGACACAAGACATGGCATTTTAAATTGCTTCCTATGCATCTGAAAAGGTATATCATTTCAATCTCTTTCTGTATGATTTACTGATTGAAAAAATGCGCTAGAGGTTTGGCTATGGGTCAGTTCTGAATAAATGGTACACAACAACAACAACAAATGCATCTGAAAGTTGGACAATGAACCAAGAAGCTTAAAGAAGAATCAATGCCTTTGAATTGTGATGTTGGCAAAGAATATTCCATATACCCTTCTCTGGACTATCAAAAGAACAAATAAGCTTGACGCAGTCAGTCAGAACGTTCCATAGAGGCAAGGATAATGAAATTTTGTCTCACTTCGAGGTTATTTTCAAGAGGAACTAGTTCTTAGAGAGGGACATCACGCTGGGAAAGGTAGAATGTTGCAATAGAGAAGAAGGCCCTAAATGAGACAGATTCAGGAGATGACAGTGATAATGGCCTTGAGCCTAATGACCAGGAGTGCAGGATAGGACAGGGTTCAGATCTGTTCTTCATAGGGTGCTGTGAGCTGAAATCGGCTTGGCTGCAGAAGCTGCGCTACAATCCCAAAGACGTGCAGTTCAAGGCAGCCACTCCAGGCCACCTGCCGCTCTATGGGAGAAGGATAGACAATCTCCTCCCATTTGATCACCAGCCTGAAAACCCACAGGAGGGTCAGCTATGTGTCAGTTCCAATTCTATGGTACACAACAACAATAACAACAACACAATCTATATTACCAGGTGATGGGCAGAGAGAGCCAGCTTGGAGCAAACCCAGAACACTGAAAACCTACTGCTGCCCAGTTCTTTCCAACTCATGGCAACGGCAGAGGGAAGACAAGAAGTGGCTCTCAGGATCTTCAAGGCTCTAATCTTCACAGAAGCAGAATGCTGCCTCTTTCTCCTGTGCAGCAGCTGGTGGGTTCAAATTGCCAGCCTTTTCATTGGTAGCCAAGAGTTTGCCCACCGTGCTATCCTGGTCCCTTGGATTGGAGCAGGGGGCCCCTGGCTCACATCTCACCAGTACAGGTTTGGGTTGAATGGAGGATGCCATGTATCTCTGCACATGGCTCCTGTCTCACCTCACCTGTCCTCACTTAGAGACCCTCTCTCCCCCAGTGTAACTGAGGTCAGGCAGTCTCCACCCAGCCACTGGGAAATCCCATGATACCAGGTCATTGGGCTGGTCACTCCCTGCAGTTACTCCTCCACCTGGGAGTGGAGGGGGTTGTGGAGGATGAGGGAGCACCCAGGACTCTAAGCGCAGAAAGGAAAGGGACTGGCTGGACGACACATAACAAGAAAGAAGCCAAGTAGAGTAGGGAACTTGGTTTCCACCCCCGGGTCCTTTCTGCTCCACTGAAGATTCATCCCACCCAGAAAGAGCTGCCTGTTCACCCTAATCCTGCATTCAGGCTGGCCCAGCGCCGCCTGCACAAATGAGGAGGTGCTTTCACATCTATTTAAGAGTGGATTTGGGGGAATTAGCTCCTTTCATTGAACAAACACTGTAATGGAGTGGTGGCTGATATTAGCAGTACTCGAGTTTCAGAGAAAAGCCATTAACAGCCTTCAGGGGGAGAAATCAATTCCGTGCAATACTTAAGAAGAAGCTCAAGGTCAACTATAAAAATTTAAAGCAAACTTTAGAAAACAAAACAAAACATCACTACTAACAAAATGCACACTTGGAAAACCATCGTCCTGCCCCATTCTCTACTCATGCCATACAGCGGGGCACCAATTCTGGCGGTCTCCAGGATCGACATTTACACTGCTATCCAAGGCTAAAACTTGGTGTCCCAATCTATCTATTTCCAGACAGAGATAGGATGAGATGGCCCTGTCTGTAACGGAGCTCCCCGACCCACAGACCTCTGGGCAGCAGGACAGGTCCTTGTAGGCAAGAAGGATAAACACATTGGTAGTTCAGCGTCATTGAAGAACTCACTGCAAAGGAGCCGTGAACTCTATTCCTGCTCCTGTGCTGAATCTACTGTCCTCTCTGCGCACCGTCCACCCAGGGTCACAGACAACAGGCACTGGGCAGAGCTTAGCTGGCAAGGTCCTCATCCTTTACTCTCTCTCTTGTTGTTAGGTAGGTTGGTGCTGTCAGTTCACTAGGACTCAGGCCATGAGCACCAGATCTGCACCGTGGCCCTATCATGTGCCATTCTCACCATCTCCATTCCGAGCCCATTGTAGCAGTCACTGTGTCGACTTTGTTCAGGCTTCTACCTTTCCCAGCATGATCTCTTTTTCTAAGGATTGACCCTTTCTGACAACAGGTCCAAAGTATGTGAGATGAATTTTCACTATCCTTGACTTTTAAAATGTCTAAAAATAATGCATACAAATACTTAAAATTAGGAAACAACAGAGAGAAAAGAGACACAAGAACTATACATAATCTGCCTGATCATACCCAGAAATAGCCACTATTTCTGGGTATGATACATTTTCATGCATTTTATTCAAAGGTTTTGGGGTTGTTTTTTTCCTGTGCAGGTAAGTTAATATATTTTTTCTTAGAGAGATTCTTAGATATTCTATATAATATTATCTTGCATTCTCAAATATATGAAAGTATTTGAATAATAAAAAAACAAAGCCACTGTCATCGAGCTGAGTTGGACTCATAGCAACCCTAGAGGGCAAAGTGTAAGTGTCCCAGCATGTCCCAGGCTGTCAAGCTTCACAGAAGTTGATTTCTGCATCATTCGCCCACAGAGCAGTGGGTGGGTTTGAATAATAACTATTTACTGGAGAGCTTTCTGAGTCACTATGTTCTTTTGAAAATGTGACTTTTTTCATGACTGTATAATATTTTATCAAATTAACAGACCATGATTTACTTTGCCCTCTTGTTATTAATTTCCTTCTATGCCATTTCTTTTTGCTATTACAAGCATTTACATTTTTGAGCCATATATTTACTTGATTTGTGTAAAGTGTTAAGATTTGATTTAAAATGATGTCTCTGGTTTTTGATTGATACCGTCAAATGACTAATCATTGATGTCCCACAGCTTTGGGGGAGGGGCTTGCCTGACAGGCCCTTCAGAGCAGAATCGTTTTTGAAAATGTTATATGGCTTTTCATTCGCTCATTGCTGTCGAGTCAGCATCAACTCATGGCGAACCCTCTAGGGGGTTTCTGTGACTATAAATCTCCTAGGAGAGAATTGTCCCTCTCTCCTGTGGAGAAACCATGAACCACCTGAGAAGTGCAAACTTTTGAGTTAGCAGTGCGACTTCCTCAGGACTGTATCACCAGAGCTCTCCATATGACTTATAGTAAATCATATTTCCTCTTTGCTGCAACATGTGTTCCCAGAAAAATGGCAGCATAACACATGGGAGGAAGAGCAGGTGGGACAGGACACAGTAAAAAGAGCTGGCTATGCTATGTCACTGTGCAACCTGGCAAAGTCTCTCCCTTCTGAAGCCTCTATTTTCCCATCTGTCTAAGGGGAGAATAACAGCAACTGCAGACATGATACTTGGACTTTTTTCTTTATCTCTGTCTCCCACTGATCTGTTGACACATCCTTCATAATTTGGGGGATACCCTAGGGCATTTACATACAGTTAAGTCTTTTGTGCCACTATGGGTAATTATGGGTCTGTGTGCTGAGGGGAATGTGGAAGGAGTATCTGGGAGAGAGAAGGGGAGGAAGGGAGAGAGGGAGAAGAAAGTAGGGAGGAAGGGAGGAGAATGACCATGTTGGAGCCACTTAGCCCTCCAATTCCCCTTGTGCTAGAACATCACAGGAGTGGAGTGTGGAGCAAGAACTTTAATCTAGGCCAAGCATAATAACCTATGGCAGTAAGTTATGGTGTAAAGGCCAGGGAAGGGTTCTTGGCTAATATAGCCACTTAGAAATGTTCAAGTTGGCAATGACCCAATTCTACAAGGTTATCTATCACCAAATACAGTGAGCTCTATCTCAGTATCATGGGCATGTTCAAGCTATCTTAGAAGGTCAAGTAGAGGATGGAGGGCCTGGGTCAGAGACAAGGCGGGAATATTGTTACCAGGAACCAGAAGTTCTTTCATGTAGTCTTCTTTCTGTCTTAGCAAGAAGGCCCATGAGCAGTGCAGGAAGGGTGTGGAAGTACAGGTCACACTAAACAGAGAAGCAGTCTGGACAGTGTGAAATGGAAAGGGTAATCTTCTGAATTAGCTGATTAAGAATCAAGGGGGGGGGGGCAGTATGTTAGGCAGAATTTCCACATCAGGAGTTGGCCAGGCTGAGAGAAGTTTAACAATGAATAAGAAGATGGGCAATTTTAAAAGTATGTAATTTTTTTTATGGTAAAACTCCAGGAGATTGCACCTAATATAAGTAGGAGCCTAATAAATGTTTTTGAGTAAAAATCGGAATGAGAGCAAAAGACATGCAATGAGGCCAAGCCTAGAGGGGAAAGGGAGCTTTATTGTGGCACATAGCGAAATAGTCAAGTCAGAGCCAATTCACCGCTGGCTCTTCAGAGGGTTTTCAGGAACTGTACAACTCAGTCTCACATACTTTGGGACTGTTGCCAGGAGGTACCAGCCCTTGGAGAAGGAAATCATGTTTGGAAGGGTGGAGGGATAGCACAGGAGAGGAAGACTCCGGATGAGCTGGATTGACACAGTGACTAGGGCAATGGGGTCAAGTGTGTCAGAGACGGTGAGATTGGCCCAGGACAGGGCAGGGTTCAGGGATACTGTGCACAGTCACTATGAGTCGTGGTTGACTCAACAGCACTTAACAATGACAGTATAGAGTGGAAGGTGGTATTTGGAGGGCAGAAATCCTGTGATCACATGACCAGCTGTATCCAATTCCTGAGTTCCCTCTGGGGGAACTGTCCATAGAGGTGAAGTGTGTTACCTGAGACATGGCTTCTTTTCCAACAGGCTGCCCTCGAGGAGATGTGGGGGTGCGTTCCAAGGAGGAGGCCTGCTGTATCTGTCCTTTCCCACCCTGAGCGGAGACTTCCTCCTCCTCTTCTGGGCATTTACTCAGTGGCTGCTCAAGGCCACCATCCAGGAGATGGGGCAGGGGGTCTTCCTCAATGGAGATGATTCTTCGGAGCATCCGGAGAGGTGGGCCCCCTACCCCTGGCTGCCCAGTTCCTGGTTCCTCTTCTGTGAGAGGATACGCATTTAAACCCAGGGAGCTCCTCCTCCTCTGAGTGCCAAACACATCTTCTTCCTCTTCTGATGGGCTATTTTGGGGTAAGGAAGAAAGAACAGGGAGAGTTTATCATAAATTAAATCAATGCGGAAGTTAGAGGACTGACTGATAGCTTTTGTGACAAACAGAACATTGAAGCATTTGAGAAGGGAACTTTAGGAATGGGAAACAAAGCAGATAAACCAGAAATGGCCAGTCTAGCCCACTCATTCAAATGCTTTTATTACGTGTTTATTGATGGCAATGGTAATAAAGATGGTGTTATATTCCACTAAAGACATGAGCATGAAAAGCTTGGAGTAGTGGAAGACTGAAATGCCCCACCATAATAATGACATCAAAAAAGACAGTTTTTATAAGTTGATAAGTTGTGAGAAATGTTAAGGAGAAGAAAATTTTAAAGGAGCATAACAGATCCAGATATAATACACCGGGATTAACAATCCAATGGCCTTGGCTCTGGTCCCAATAGTAACACTTACTAGTTGTGTGTTGTTTGTATGTGCCATTGAGCATACATACAAACTAAACAACATACAAACTACTCATGACTGAGCCTTTAGCAGGCTTTCAGAGGTTGTCACCCACACTGGAGGAGATTGCCCATCTTCTCTGACAGCAGCTGGAGGTTTCGAAGTGTGTGTCTTTCAGTTGGCAGCACAGCTTCTTACTCCCAAAGCCATTTCAACTCTCCAGACCTCAGTGTCGTTATTGTTGTTAGGTGTTATCAAGTCGAATACGACTCATAGCAACCCTATGAACAAAGGGTCTGAAACCAGTCCTGTCCTGTGCCATCCTCACACTTCCTGACACACAAGAGCCCATTGCGGCAGTCACTGTGTCAGTTCACCGGGTTGAGAATCTTTCTCTCCTCTGCCAACCTTCCATCCTTTCCAACATTATGTCTCTCTCCAGAGAATAGCACCTCCTAGCAATATGTCCAAAGTATGTTAGACAAAGTCTCATCATTCTTGCCTCCAAAGAGCATTCTGACTGCGCTCTCTCCAAGACATATCCGTTCTTCTCTTGGCCATCCATGGGATGTTTGGCGCTCTTCTCTAACACCAGAGCTCCTTATTCATTATCCAGGTCTCAGATGCATAGCTAATAACTTGGAAAGCCATAGTCTGAATCAGACACACCCACACTTTAGTCCTCAAACTGACATTACTACTCGTCAATAATTTGGATATTGTTAAAAATGAAATGGAACACATGAATATTGACATACTAGGCATTAGTGATATGTGATGGACCATCTATGGCCACTTTGAATTAGATAATCATACGATATACTATGAAGGAATGAAAACCAGAAAAGTGGTGTTGCATTCATAGTCAAAAAGTCAATTTCAAGTTCTATCTTGAGATACAATGTTGTGAGTGATAGGATAATATCCATACGCACACAGGAAAGACCTGTTTACATGGCTATTATTCAAGTATATGCTCCTATATCTAGTGGCAAAGAGGAAAGAAATTGAGAATTTTTACCAAATTGTGCAGTCTAAAATTGACTGAAAATGTGATCAAGAGGCATTAATGATAATTGATTACTGGAATGCAAAAGTAGGAAACAATGAAGAAGGAACAGTAGTTGGAAAAGAATAGGCCTCAGTATCCTCCTGCATAAAATACAAACCATTAGTCCTCACTATAAGGAGGCCTGTTTGATTGTTGGTGGTGCAGTAGTCAAAACACTGGACTGCTAACTGAGAGACTAGTGGTTCAAACCCAATAGTTGCTCAGTGGGGAAGATGTAGGAAGCTGGTTCCTTAAAGATTGCTCCCTTGGAACCTGATGCAGCAGTTCTGCTCTGACCAACAGGGTCACGTGGAATTGACTTGATGCCAATGGGCTGGGTTTGGCTGGCCTTTCTATCTCACAAATAAAACAATGGCTACAAAGCAGGTGTGCTTTGGGATGAGGGATCTAGCTCCAATCAGGCAGGGAATTTGAAACTGGGCTTTGCATTGGAGGAAGCCAAGCAGAGGATTTCCACCTGCCTCTTCTTCAGAAGCACGAGCAAGTGGCCACAGAGGGCCAGGTGAATATTGTTTCCAGAATGATCTGAGCATCGGGGGGCATGGAGAAGCAGTAGGAAGTAGCATGAGCGAGGGCTTGGGTGATGTGGTAGCACCAATGCACAGGCTGTATTTACCAATGTTTGAGAACAAAGGCATTATAGGTAGGTTCTTCTTAGCGAGGGATTTTCACCAGTGTTACGTTGCCAACCCTAAGCATGGAGTTCAAATCGACCAGTTGTTCCTTGGGAGAAAGATGGGCAATCTTCCACAGAGCTTACCACCTCTGAAAACTGGCTAGTGAATCAGCTATGAGTCAGTTCTGACTCAAAAGTACATAACAACAACATTGCTAGAAGGAGCCTTTCGTGGCATAGTGCTTTTAAGCTCTCTGATTAGTGGTTACGTGCTAATTGTAAAGTTGATGGTTCAAGCCCATCCTGCCACTCTGTGGGAGAAAAGGCCTAGCAATCTGCTTCTGTAAAGATTACAGCAACAGAAACCCTGCGGGCCAGTTCTTCTCTGTCCCATGAGGTCACTGAATTGAAATCAACTTGGTGGCACCCAACAACAATAATAAGAACTAACAGCAGCAAAGAAAAATGAGAAGATGTACGTAACACAGCTCAAAAGTTAATTCCAAGTTTAAAGGTGAAATGAAGATACAGTACTTGTTCACAGTAATGGTGAGTTAGTGTGGGCCCCTTGCTATAAAAGGAAAGATGAACAGCAATTCAAGCACTTTTACATTTACTTACAAAGTCAGAGTTGTTAATAGACACCGTCTTATTCCCAACAACTTTCTACACATCATGATGAGCCTATGTGCTTTTCTCCTTTAGTGTACAATTAATTCTAATTCCATCCACTTTCACATTGTTCACACACACAAAAGTATGTAATCATTCATCTCCACGTACAGTTATTTGTATGCACCTAGCATGCTTTTTCAAAGGCCTTGCAACCAAAAAGAAATGTCCACTTAAATGAACCCAGAAAAATATTTCTCAGAAAATAGCTTTTTTATTTAAGGAAAGTGCTATTGATGTTTATGATAACTTTATCTTAGCATATTTCTTGGTTTTGCCAACAGTGCAATCTACCAATACCAGAAGGAGCCAAATTTTGCATTAAATTCAGGATTTGTGGTAGGCTGCATGTTGAATTGTGGTCTGTTTTCTCCACTCATCTGTAAGTTCCCTGAAGACAGCCAGCACACTGCACAATACCTCACACATAGTAGTTATGAGACAAATCTTTATTGAATGAGCATTTGAAAATGGATATTGATGGCAGGACTCATGTGTAAGCTGTCTTTAGAGGCTTCACAAAATTCAGAGAAATGTCTGGTATAGAGTAGACAATCAACAAATGCCTGTTGAATAAATAAACTCATCAACCAATCAATATATTCAGTTCTGAGGAAGCAACAGTCCTTGTTCTACTGTAAAAGATTCATTTCATCTTACAAATTGTGACATACAAATTATCGCTCATTATTCTGCCATTTAGGAAAGGGATCCACCTTGTTCTGGCCCAAAGACTTGACTGACACCCCCATGGTCCCTTCCTCTTCCTTTGCCACAACTTGCATGCTTACAATCCTTAGGATCTTCGCAGTGAACAAGTGGGTAGACATTCTCCTCAGGTCAACAATCTAGAGTCTGGTTCCGCTACCTCTCTGTGCCTGTCTCTGGGGATGGAGCACAAGCCAAAAGGAAGAGAGGGCAGAGGACTGGCTTGTCCTTTGGAATAAGCCTTACAGGTATGCAAACTTAATCACAGGCTGTCCGACATCAACAACCTATGCTACCTTTGAGTTAATTAAATATGAATCACTGAAACAATGTCAAGAACAGGACCCAGTCTTATCTGTAAAAGAAATTCAAGTATTGGAGATTCCATGTGGCACTTTAATTAACCTTCCTTAAAGAGCCATCACAGACATGTCCCCCAGAATGCACCAGGCAGCACTCTGCTCTGCTCAGCAGGAGGCAGCAAACCGTCCAGCCACCCCTCCATCACCTTCTCTCCACTGACCCTCTTTTACTGTCTCCTCTCACGAAGAGGAAACACTTCTTTGGTCCCTCTCCGCAGGCTCATCCTCCAATGAACGGAGTGGCTGCCAGTGGCAATGGTCTGTTTGACGCAGCTGCTCTGCTTAGTCCTCTCCCATCTGAATGTTAGAATGGAGAGGACATGCCCTCTAAGACCCCAGGGGAGAAAGTAGGAGCAGTCCTGGGCCTCCCCACTGAGGACCAGGGCGCTAGGGGTCAGTGTGCACCCACTGTGGGCAAAGACCAGGCTCACAACGTGTGAAAGGAGCAAACAGAGGAATGAAGGGTTGATGACTTACCTTCTAAGAATCCCTCTGCCGTCCACATATTTGCCAATCACAGAGCCAGATCTCTGCTTCCAGCTTGCCTTGGAAGCAGCTGTGTTTGCCTTGGCTGCCTTGTCTTTCTGCAGAAACACAAAACACCCTCAGATCCTGGCCTACTGATTTGCCCTCAATGACTGGGCAGAAAAGGGACTCAACTTTCTCATCTCCTAAAACAGGCCCTGAAGTAGGCAAGCAGTCTTCAGGTCTACCTGTGAGTGGGTCCCTGTTCACTCCTTTTGCCATCATCCCCCGTCAGAAATCCTCCATCTCCTCTCTAGTAATCTAATCAGATGAACACAGACATCATTTAGTGCCTGGGGTCCACTATAGCATCAATGTGCAATTACTGATAATTTGCAAGAAGACAAAGATGAAACATGTGCTTACTGCTAAGGAAAATATTTATAGGCACAGAAGAGTTCTATGCATCTTTAAATCACATTCCTCTGTGTGGTTCCAATTACCCTTTCTTTTTAAAATCTCAGATATAATGAGAAAGGATCCATCCCAGAGGGACAATTAACCCTGTGCCCTGTCCACAGCTACTGAGCTCACTGAGGGATTTCATACCTTTTGTGGAAGGAGACTGAGTGGAGGTTAATTGCTCAGACATCTGTAACAGAGGACCTGGGTAGGGTGGGGGGCTTACAACCCCTTTGCCAGTGTTCCCTGACAGATGTCTTTCAGGAGCTGAGGGGGTGTGAGATCAGAGGAAGGATGTGTCATTAATCAGCCATCTCGATTCCCATTGATCCCTAATGAGAGCAGGAAGAGTGGCAGAGCTCCCGGGGCCCCTGAAGGTATGGCTATAATGACTCCAAATGAATCTTTAATTATTATTCAGCATGAACATGATTTTATCATTCGTACTTCTCTTCCCCTCTAGCATTCTTAATTCCATTCCCCTCTCTAAGCTGAATGAGTTTGGCAGGTGAAGGGAAGAGAGGTCAGGGGATCAGGGCAACATTTGGTTAGAAGTTTTTAAATAAATTCAGTGTTACTTCTAAAACAATTATAACCATTATCAGCCTCAAACAAATATGTGTAGGCTTAAGCCTTTCTCTAACAGTACACACAGGTGGGCGGCAGAGATGTTTGTTGCCAGTCAGGGATATAAAAGGAATGGTGTAACGAGATCCCTAGGAGATTTGCAGTTACAAATCAGGCCAGACCTAATTTTGGGAAAACTGACTGATCTAAGTCATGATCTTCACAATTAATTGCTATGAATTAGAGGGCTGGACAATGGCTGAGGATGACAGAAGAAGAATTGATACCTTTGAGTTGTGGTGCTGGAGAAGAATATTGAACATACATACCGTAGACCACTAAAGAGAACAAATAGCTCTGTCCTGGAGAGGGTAAAATGAAGGTGCTCCTTGGAGGCAAGGATTTTGAAGCTCCTTCCACGTTCTTTGGGGATGTGGTCAGGAGAAAGCACAGTCCTTGGAGAAGGATATCATGTATGGAAAGGTGGAGGACAGCACAAGAGAGGAAGACCCCAGATGAGATGGATTGACACAGTAACTGGGGTAATAGGGGTAGATGTGTCAGAGACAGTGAGACTGGCTCAGGACAGGGCAGACTTCAGAGCTACTGTACATAGCGTCACTATGAGTGACTCACAAGTGATATGAGTGAGTTACAAGTGATTCAACGACATGTAACAACAATAACAACAACTGCCTGATGCTAACCTCATTTAGGCCTCTGTTCAGCTAAGGGTATAATGCACATTATTCTCTTTTTTCTAAGAGTGTTTTCTGGCAGTTCAAATCCACCAATGACTCTGAGGGAGAAAGAGAGGCAGTCATCTCCTGCATGACATACAACCTTAAAAACCCACTGGAGGGTCAGCTATGAGTTGGTAGCAACTTGACAGTGATGAGATTAAAAAAAAAATTTTAAAAGGAAGTTATTTCCTTTACTCACCGAACAATTGCCCAAGGAGGCTAAGGACTTTATCAAAGATGTACATAACATTCACAGTGTGAAATTATGATCATTAGGAAATCACATCAATCAATCTCTCCCCCATTTCTCTTTCAGCTAGCTACTTTTGAGAGGCAGAGATGAATAGGGGAATATGAAATCCCAAATTTTATTTAATGCATCCCAAAGTGAAATCTCTTAAGTGAATATTCTAAGTAAACAACAGGAATGTCTGCAATCTGGGGGAAATCTATCAGTCTGATATTCAGGTACGGATGTGTCGCTGAGTTCCCCAGAGGGTAAAAATCAAATAGCACATAAAATCAACTCTGTAAATTATGAAATATACATTTTTAATCTGTTTTATGTCAGCATAAAAATGCAAAGCAAAGCGTTCATCAAGAGATACATATTTAAATGAAGAAAAACCTTGAGCGTTCTGGTTAAAAAGTGATAATGGCATTTCAACTGCGCCATCTCATGGATAGAGTAGATCATCTCTACTTCTAAGAAACCCGTCACCCTCCCAAATACCTCAGGCACGCTACACCACGAGGAACGTGTGCTCCTCTATGAAAAATCAATACACTGTTACCCAGCGGGCCACCAGGCCTTTTTATTATTTTCAGAAAGCCTCTGGCCATCATCGTGCCAAATCAGAACCCAAATCTCAGGCCATCCTGGGGTCAGTCCCAGGCTATTCTCCACAGTCCTCACCCCCACACCCCCGTGGAAGGGATCGCTGCCAATTACCTGAAAGGATATGTCCCGCTCATCCCGAAGGTGCTTGTTCCTTTCCCTGTGGACAGTAAAGGAAAATCAATTCAAACAGAAAACTAGTTTCCGCCCTAGCAGTTGAGGGATTCAAGTTGAGGGATTCAGTAGCTGGAGAGCCCCAGGGAAGGCTTTGTGCAGAGGGCCCAAGGAGTGAAGGGAGTCTCTTTCCTTGGGGATTGTGATTAAAGGCACAAGGTAATTTGTGTAGGAATCAGCTGAGAGGTAGGAAAACACACAACAGAGGCTTTGCACCGCCCCAAGAGCTCCAGAATGCTGCCGTATTCTGCACTTCTCATTCCTGCCACTAGAAAGCCTCCATGGCGTGAATGGGGAGCCCCGGGACCAGCTGTGAGCCCACTATCATGCTCCCAACTGAATTATTGTCCCTCCCTCTGAACTGTTTGCAACACCATCTAATTCTCCAAGAAGCCCGTGAGGTAGCCTTACAAAAGCTATGTCTAGAACAGAGCATTTAAGCTAATGAAGGGTAGTTCTGGGTCTCAAATCAGATTCAACCCTCAAGGTAGTAAAACACACAAGAGGAGACTGTTTATCTTTTTCCCCATGGAGCAGCTTGTGGATTTGAACCATGAGTCTTTGGATTGGCAATGCAGTTCTTTACCAATAGGCTACCGGAGATCTCTTGTTCCAAACTGGATGCCCTGAAATAATTTAGAGTGGGCCCACTAATGTTAGGATAGCAATGCCTTCTTTAACCTTGTCATATACTAGTCTCAGTCCCAGTTCCATGGCCTCCTCCCGAAAACATTCCTGCAGCTGCCTCCCCAGCTCCTACCCCAAGTATTCACCCTCCCTTGGAGTCCTTGGTCAGTGTCACTCCATGCTGACTTCACTGTGGAGGAGAACATGTGCCACGGAGGTCTTCCCTTCCATTTCTCAGCTTTCACGAGTTTAAACTTGGCAACCACATACATCTAGAAGATTATACATTTCTGCTTGAACTCTGTTACTGTTATGTGCTGTCAAGTCAGAACCAACTCATAGCTGACTCTCCAGTGGGTTCTCAGAGGCAATAAATTGTACAGGAGGAGATTGCCCATCTTTCTCCTGTGGAGCAGCTGGTGGATTCAAACTGTGTGTCTTTGGCATAGCAGCATAGCTTCTTACCCCCAGGCCACCAGATTTCAGAAAGCTGTCTTATTTTTTTGAACTCTTATCGCCATTAGAAAAGATTTGTAAGTATTTCTAGAATTTTGTCATTCTTTCCTACTAATTTGCTTTGAATCTACCTTCCTTTTCCCCCCCTCTAAGCACAATAGGGAAGAGGGGGAATAGCCTGACAACAAAAACTTGTCCAACTTGCACTAAAAATTCCTAAGAATCAAGACTTTCTCTCAAAGGGATTAAAAGCTGGCTGTTCAAGAGCCCCTTTCCATTTCTCAGTTGTTGGAGGCCTATTTGAATCATGCGTTGGAGCGGAGTGACTCTAAAATGCATTCAGCTTGAATACTGCTCAGCTTAGAAGTGTCAAAGAGGCCAGACATGGTGACCTCAGTTTGGTTTCAAAAAACAAAATGAAACAAGATACACATTTTCACAAGACATCTGGGAAGTGATTAAAAACCACTTACATTTTAAAAATCAGAACTCAAAAGTCCTCCTGCTTCATCACTACCATCGAAAAGGTGTTTAGGAAGCAACACATACGGTAACCTAGAAACCTCACAGGCAAAGCGGGAGACTGTCTTTCCCTACATGCTCTGGTGGGTTTGTTTTTGGCTCATCTCAGGCCAGTGAGCTCTGAATGTATCACATCAAAGCACCCTTCCTGGTGCTTTGTCATTCATTTGCTCATTCAGCCAACATTAACAGTACTTGGCAAAGAGAAAAGGATCAGTACAAATGGATGTGAATTCTGGCTTCATCAGTGAGTAGCTATGTCACTTTTGATCAATTACATAATTTCTCAAATATCCATTTTTTAGTCTTTCACTCTTGTGTCAACAGTTGCGCTACCTGCCTAATAGTTTTGATGAAGAAAAAAAAAGACAATAAATATATCTAGCACCGATATATTCCTTGGTGTGTCAGAATTAGTGAGACTGGCTCAGGGCAGGGTTCAGAGCTGCTGTCACTATGGGTCACAGGATACTAGATAGCACACAACAACAACTTGTGCAAGCATCACACTATATACTGTGAGAGACGTAAGGAAGGTTGAATGAGGCAGAGCATATCACAAAAAAGTTTTAACCAGGAAGGGAAGAGCATAGGTGTGTAAGTGTAACAAACAGCAAAGTGGGGGTAGTCGGTGGTCCACACAGCTCACTGGGCACTAGGGAATGATGTGTTCTCTCTGAAGCTCTTTCTAGTATGTGGTAGGGAAGATGGAGACACTCTCAGACTGGTCCTTCCAGCCTAAGACAATGGAGACATGATCTCATAAACATGCCAGACTGACGCACCTCAGAAAATCCAGCTGCTTCAGGAGCCCTGACTTCTCCCGCTGTAGACTCTCCGTCACACGGTACACTTCCCTACAGAGGAGGCAAACACAGAGATGATGAGTGGCAACTTGGGGTAGGGATCTGCAGGGTATGAGGCTGAGCAGTGTTGAGGTGAGGTTCCCAGGACATCTGTCCTGCACTCAGTACAGAGGGATTTAGAGGACAATGGGACCATCATTGACATTCTCCTGAGAAGAGGAAATTCTCCCATTAAATGTACTTTGACAGCTGAAGAGATTCTATAGCTGTCCCACAATCACAGGCAGATCCATGATGAACCCAGGGCTCTACTCCAGACCTTTCTACTCCCCAATTCTCCTCATTCTCTAGCTATTCTACACGACCATCTGGACACCACTAGGCGATAATGGCACTGTCCCCTCAGGCTCCCAATCACCCTGCCTGATCCAAACTTCAGGGGCATTAGTCAATGTTCTTCCCCATCCTGATCAAAGCAGGTGTGAGAAAAGACAAAGTTTCACTTCCATCCCATCCTTTCCCTCTGCCGCCAGATGCTGATGTAGTCAGTTTTTAAAAGCACTGGAAGAATCTATTTCTCTTTGTCATCTCCCCTCCCTCAAAAGTCCACAATCTCTTGCACAATGTCTGGAACATTCACTGATGGCCATTCATTCCTTTGACTTAGGATTGCTTATCTTCAGTTACAATGCAGAGACTTCAGGCATCAATTAGACTCAGCCATCAAGATCACAATGTCCACATGTCCATCATGTCTTGAGGGAAGAGAGAGAAGCTGAGAGGACCTTACAAGCTGACTGGGAGGGCGCCTTAGCCTGGGAGGCAGGGTCTGTGCTTGTCAGTTTCTCTCTGTCTTCAACACTGTGTCTGGCACAAGGGTGCAGTCGACACATAGTTGCAGAAAGAAGGAAAGAGGGAGGGGAGGATGAAAGAAGGTAGGTAGGACAGAGCAGAAGGATCTCTCTGGAAGCTATCCAGCAGCACACTGAAAACCACGGAAAGAGATAATGCAGGAATAGGTCATGATGGAAAATTCCACAATTCGCTTAGTTTCACAATTCTGCATTGACTCTTCCTTCTACATTCTGTGCCATGGTTTGGGAAATTTTAAATTACCACATATCCTTACTGCAGAGGGTCCAGAGCCCTGTATTTGCAAACCACAGCATGGCCTTTTGTACAGAGAGCATCTCACAGCCTGATAAACGTACCACTTAACTATGGGCTGCTGGAATTGCACACACTGGGCCCGGTGAGGACAGTCACCCCTATGACACCCTATCGGTGTCATCAACCATAAAACAAAGCCAGCAGGCTGGGCCTGCAGGACTCTCCTGCCAAGCTCACAATAACCTGCTTTTTAAAGAAGTATCTGTGTGGGGCTTTTCTCCCCCTTCTCCTTATAGAATAATTATAAAGTCAATTTACGACAACAACAGACTAAATCAAATTCTAAGTTCACCTCAGACAATCCTAATTAAGCAACAAAACTTCTCTGGCTCCTGCAGAGCTGCAAATTCCTTAACATTTTATTACCAATTATATTTAATTTCAACTTGAGGGAAAACAATGTATTTCCCATTACCCAAACCGGGTCCCCAAACTCCTGTCGAGGACTCTGCTCTGACTAGCACAACGTGAGCAGAGCCGACTGTCTCCTGGAAGCTGAAGACTGTCTACATCTGCCTTTGTGATTCCCCTGATCCAACCCTGAGACTGCTTCCCTCTAGGGACAGCTGGGAGCAGACAACTTTTCCCCAATGATAGAAAAGTCCTCATTAGCATCGAGTTGGAACCAACTCATAGCTGACCTTCCCCAGGGTTCTGGCAGATTGGTTGCCCATCTTTCTCCTGCAGAAGGGAGCTCTGGTGCTGTATATAGTCCATAGGGAGATGTGCAGCGAGCCCAACGGCAGTCACCTCCCTGGTGCTTCTAATTCACAGCAGCTCTTTGAGAGAAAGATGGATAATCTCTTCTCTTGTGATTAAAAGTCTCAGAAAAACCACGGGTGGGTCAGCTATGATTGGTTCCAATTCTCTGGTACATAACAACAATAATGTTTGGCTATATATATTTCTTTGTATAAATGTTTGTACAAAGATACATTCAAACACAAGGGAGTTCTAGTGGCCTAGTGGCAAGAAGCTCTGCTGAAATCAGAAAGGCATGCAGTTCAAGGCCACCGGCTGCTCCATGGGAGAAGGATCCTCCCATGCCATTAACTGCCTCTGAAAACCCACCAGAGGGTGAGCTATGGGTCGGCTCTGACTCTATGGTACACAAAAACAACAACATATTTAAACAAACATTTTAACATTTCATATACATGTGACACAAATATCTATTCAAACATATACTTCCACAACCACCTGCAGATATATAACAACATAT